CAAGTCTCACCTGAGTGGTGTGTTCATTAAAAAAGACGTTCAGCCCAATTATTACATGGGCCAAATCCGTGAAATTCATAGCACACCACACGTATCTTCCTGTATGCTAGAGCAACTGTAGCTTCAAGGCGGCAATGGCCAGCAAAAACACACGAATCATGATGAATTTTTCTTTGGGAGAAGGAGGGCGGCTCGTCATGTCGTTTTGCTTGGACTCCATTGGACTCGTCTTGTCGTTCATCTCAAGATAGCTGGAGGCGTGTGACTCCATTGCATGATCCAAGTTGAACCACGTAAATGGTGAAAACTCTCATGCCAAACTTGTCGTGGAGACCAGATCGTATGTAGAAAGGAATTGTATTTGTGAGTCAAAGAATGCCAAAGAAAGGCTGAAGGAAGTTGCGACGCTACGACTGATCAATCATCAGTTGTCAAGATCATTCAGGCTCTAATATTGGACCTGCAAATTTGAAGAGCTGGACTATCAGAGTTGCTCAGTCAATTAGACATCTACAGGAGGTCCTGCCACACTAGCCAAACCATCAGAAACCATTTGATGATCGATGATCGTAAAGAGCGTGCATCCATATCATCTATAATGTAATCTCAGGAATATATCATAAACCTCCCCTACTTAATCAAAGCCCACACAGCCCCAAACAGTTAAACATATTATTCGTGGCTAACTTCCTCCTGAATAAGGTTGTTGGGTGCTAGAAGCCCTGCCAGTTAACTCGAGCTGCACAACCCAGTCAATGTTTTAACAATATCTAATGGTTACATTTACTAAGGGAGGTTTATTAATCATGCTGCAACCACCATCATGCTGCTCATCGCGTTCTTTCAATTCATCAATGAGGCTTTTGCTCATGGCTTAGCCTTTCAAGCATTGGTATCAACCTTCATGGTCCAATGGCCTCATAGCATCTTATTCAGGGGGGGTGGACCTCAAGAATGGTACCTCAGACCTTGTTGATCTTCTTGACCTTCCATGTGGGTCGGTATTAATCCGGTCTTCACATTAGTCATTAGTCAATGGTCTTGTTGTTTTTCATCGGTTTCACTGGACTATTGACACCGGTGAGTATGGCATTCAATGGAAAGTTTGAGGCTTCCTATTAAGTACAGTACATAACAACAAAGAACACAGAAAAACAACAAAACACTCTTGAGCTCAGAAAGTCTCAGGTTCTTCATTTCTTCATTGGCTCACCAAGCTCCACACAACATTCAACATGGCCTGCTTGAGGTCCTGGAACTCGCTCGAGGACTGCCTGTGCGGGTGCTGGTCAGCGACCAGAAATGACGATGCCTCAACCAAAGTGGTCAATGACTGACTGGACATCCCTAATTGAACATGAACCCGAATGACAACTGACATTCCAGAACCCTGACACCTACATCGGTCTAAATTCCCCACGCATTGTTCGAAGGGTTTGTTTGGGGGCACCTATTCTGACACAAACAAACAAGCAAACCTACTCAGCAGGGTTCAATGCATCAAGGTTAGCTGTAACTTTGTTGGGCAAAACTGCGAGGAGAAAGATAATGAGGCACTAATTTTTGCCAGAGGCATTCTTCACGGAAAAGGCACCGTAATCAAACACAATTGCCGTTTTAGGGGTTGCGAACATGTGCTCAAAATCCATGGGTGGAGAAAGACGCCGTTTGGACGCCCCTAATACTAAAGACGCCGTTTGGAAGCCTCAAAACACCGTTTCCTTTTAATGGTTTCTGCCGGTTTCTGCTGGTCACAACAAAAAAGGCCGTCTTTGGAAAACGACGCTGTAATGACATGTCTTCTTGAAAAGGCAACTGCAGTATTTGTGCCGTTTCGAAGATCCAGGTTATATCTACCACTCAAACATCCTGGCCAGCATGAACCTCACACGAGACGCTCGTACACTGTTGTGCCAGTCTGAGACGACCGGACACTGCGAGCCACGCATCCACCAAGGACTGCACCTCGGTGTCAAAGACTTGGGGCAAGGTGGTGAAGGAAATACAGTGAAAAATGACACCATTTGGCTTTCAAGACGCACATTTTCAAGAGTTGTTGTTGTTGTTGTTGTTGCTGCGCTCATCCACAGATATCCAGCGTTTTTTCTTGGGAATTCAAGTTGTGGTGCCACAGAACGACAGGGGCGCCACGTCTCTTTATATCAGTTTTGGATGCCAAACACCCATTTCCCACAGAATAAAGCATGCTCGCTCGGCTTTGAGTCCGGTCCTATGAGATCACTCCGAATATAGTCCTGACCCCTCACATGCTAGTTACCGGATTGACAAAAACCTTTTGCCTGGGAGTCTGATTTCGCTTGTTTGTCGGTTTCACCGCCCACCTATGATCTGGGCTTCAAACGATCTGAACGCTTGCTGTAAGGAAGCTGCGTGATGGCACCCACCTCACAGCATCACGGTGAATTTAGATTTTATTTAGCAGAGCTGCACAACGGCAGCACTCCACACTCCAGGGCCCCAGGGCACCCGTTTCCAGCTTGGCTTGTATGACATCAAGGCTGGCACTTACACTACTCTGCTTCTTGCCTGCATGCATCCCACGTATCAAGTAAACAGCTCTGGGTCAAACTCTTTCATATCTTTCTCACTACTGTGCCAGCGGCACACATGACGTGAGAGTAAGTGGACAGGATGGGTGGAATGTCACCCATCACGACGCATGATGGGGCCTGTGCGGCAACTCAAAGCTGTTGGCCTCCAACCTAATAAATAGCAATGGCCTCCAACCTAATAGTCTTGGCCAGCGAAGACAATATGTTTTATCATTCTACTCTACTGATGGGATCTACTGTGAGCTACAAGACAATTCCACCTCGAATTTGTTATTTATACCAAAGACCAACGCCTTAACAAATTGCAAAACTGCCCAATGAATAATCGATCTCCCCGTGGATGTGCCGAAGAACAGTCTGGTTAAAATAACAAACAAGGGGATTTTGATGGATTTTGGTTTGTCTGTCGCAGTGCCACCCGTGGCCCACCAGTTTTACTTGGTTAGCCAAGGAATGGAGCTTCGGTGCAACAACTCGTTTTTGGGTCGTTTGGAGTTCGTTCCTGGGTCAAGAACCTTCAGCTTGGGCTTTGGGCTTACTAAGTCGACCGCAAGGCTGCCTGTTTGGGGAAACACACACAAATTCATGGTAGAGGATGACTATATAATATGTACTTATTATACTTATGCCTCCAACCCAAGTATCCAGAAACCGATTCAATCGGAGAAGCAGAACGCAGGTAACAAGCCAACACAGCTTCTAGGCCATGGTCAAATGCATGTCACAACTCCTAAATTGGGAGACTGGTCATCTATCGTCCTCCCATTCCCTTCTTAACCGAGTACATCAAAAGAGCATGGCACAGATTATAAATACAAAAAGGCACTTGATACGTATCGAGAAGCAAATGTATGGGTTGCTTTTGGTGGATCCCTGACATCTGAGGCGAGTGGTAGGCCCCTCCTGCCAGGTCACTCGCTGCCCCGCCTGACAGGTAAGGCCTTCAACACTGCTTTCACCACCAGACTGTTGAGTTCCGCCTCGGTGGGCCCGCATCAGCCTATATACAAAGAACTTTGCAAACAAACATCAGTAAATCATAAGACATCATTGAGATCATGCAAACAAAGGATACATGTCAAATGACATGAGATGAAATGAGATGGGAACCATGCCACGGGTTGGAACCATCTGAGAGCCAGGGGACCTTTTATTCAAATTCACAATCTAGAGTCCTTCGAAGATGGTGCACTCGCACATTGCGCTGCTCCTGCCTCATCCATGGAAGATTTGTTCAGCTCATGGCCACAAGAAGTTGTTTCTTGCGGTATTCAGCTATATAGCAACGGCTAGAAAGCCGTCATGTTCTTGTTGTCTTCAAAGCCTTGCAGCTTCAGCCGTCATCAAGCTCTTCAGAATCTTCAACAACACGGGATTGGCACACTGTGACCGACTTTGGTGTTGTGTGGCACGCCACATGCTTGAGCAGCAACATGAAATGTCGCGTCTCAAAAACGTACAAGTAGCTCGTTTCGGCAGGCCAATTGTAACGGCCATACACATTAGACATATAAGCTTCCAACTATTTGGCAATATCATGCAATATCATATTTTAGGAGCACTATGCTGTCGAAGAATCAGACTGCTCCTAAATGATCCACCGATAACAAAGGATCCTTTTGGTGCGTTGTCAACGCTACTTATAGGTTGACTAAAGCAACATATATATATATACTAAGCCGGCAATGTTCACCGTTTCACCCGAACTTACAGTAAGGCTTTTCGTTCAGCTCAGTGGCTCAGTCTGCTCAGTGCTCCTTTTTCCCACTTTGCGGGACTCGCTGTGGCAAAAAAACAAGCCTTTGATGCAGGTTGACCTCGAACACTTGAGGACTTCAACAAGGTTTGCCAACCTCTTGGCAATACCACTTGATGCCACTTGGTGCTACACCACATCATTTTAGGAAGCACCTTGCAATGCACCTTGCGGCCATGTTGCTGGCATTTCTCTTCAAGTCTATGTTTGGAACATGGTGGAACACTGGAACAGCCCTCTACTCCCATCCCGTTCATAAGTTCCAAGTTTGCCCATTCCAACCGTGAACATCAGGTGCCAAACAGAAAGCTCTTCCAAGGTCAAACCGTCCAACGGAACGGGTGAAACGCTTCAGCGACTCAGGCCCTGGCAAGTCACGGCTCCACCACGGTTCCGCAGCCGCGACCGCGGTCGACCAAGTCTCTGGGGTGGTCAAGGTGGGACACGGGATGGAGGGAAGACAGCTTGAAGATTCTAAGCAATCGAAGGCACGGCTCCTGTGACGTGGTGGCTGTGCTTGACATGATCCAGAAATCTAAGATATTGTCCATCTTTAGATTACAATCCCAGGAGCGGCACAACAACTGGAGTTGCCGTTGGAAGAGTCATCCCATGTCTGGTGCTTTTTCAGAAAGAGGAAACACACCTTGATAAACATGCAGACCTACAACCTACGAGTAGTAATCATATCCCTTCCTCTCATCCTCTCGTTGCGCCACCTTCATGAAGTGACCACCGATTGAAAACACCTGCCCGACAAAAACCATGCCACGTGCTGCTGTCTTCAGGACGCTGGCCATCTTGAAGCGCTCCTGGCCGTGGAAGTACGTACCATGGCTGCATGGCAGCCATGGCTGCTGCCTTCTCTTCGGAAATGGTCGAAAGGATGTCGAAAGGTTCTTAGCTCGGGTTAAGAGATGATCAATTGGCCAATGGCAACCTGCATCTGCATGTCATTTATGCCGATGCCTCGTCATACATCATAGGCCATGTCACACTAGAATACTATAGAGGCGTCATGAGAGAGTTCACTGCCTACAAGTCGCGCTTGATCTATTTCGCCGCTTTTGAACAGCTCTTCTCTGCTCTTTCGTGACCAAAGAGAGAAGCGAGCCACTCTGATGCGAAAAGGCGGGCATGGAGTGGTGCACCAAGCAGCGGGCGTGTGGGCGTCAGTGCAAACCATATCCGAACAACAGCCACTCCGGAAAACACCGGCAAACGGGTCCTTCTCCATATTCAGAAGCAAACGCTTCACTTTGAGCACCACAAAGTTCCTGCAAAAGGGCGGGCACACTGACTGCACTGCTTGATAGACTGAGGTGATGCTAAATGCACGGGCGTTGACGGTTATTGAGGGTTTAAGAGTGCTTGGGGAGAAGGGTGACCTGGTTTCTGCTGACGGTAATTGTTGTTGATTGCAGAACTGCAGCACGGCTGTCCCAGGTTCTTTGGCCCCACGATGGAGAGACTCCCATGGGCAAATCACCATTCGACCAACATCTATCCCAAGAGCGGATTTTTCAAAGGCATGGCCCTATGGCATGGCCATGGCCATCGGCATTTCGAAAGAGCTCCAATAGCTCTCATCAAAGCCGTTTGGACAGGCGCAGGAGTGAACCGACTGAATGGACTCGACTGGTGACACGAGGTGCCCAGAACCAAACATGACGGACCTTGGCTTCACGTGGCATTCATCCCGATTTCAGGAATCTGTGGCAGCTCAGCAACTAGGATGGAGCAATTACCAGGCCCATTGAAGATTTAAAACCCGTTATATTATACTTAGAAGAGCTTGCCGCCTAGCCTTGAAGGGTCTAACATGTCTGTTATTTGCGCTGATTGCCTATTTGCATAGACTTGTGGAACGGAATCAGTGAGAAATCAACTTCCCTGCTTGATAGGAGACCCATGGAGACCCCATCGGCACGCCATAGCAGTGCCAGCAAACTGGATATGCACAGAGTCCCAGCCTGTCACAAACCCGCACGTGGGAGTGCTCGGTCGCACCTGCACAAGATCTGGTGTTTGGAAACCGGAGTTGAAGTTGTAAACGTGTATTATTTTTAACGGCTTCAGGCTGCATTCAAATATTATGGTTTTAGGGTTTATCGAAGCCGTCTAATATCACTGGAATCACTAGCGGCGGCGCGGATGAATACTCACCTGACCTAGTCATACAAGACCTGACCTGAAGATTGACAATCCTCAACAAATACCATGTTCCAGTTGTGCATTTGGCTACCACAAGCGTGACCCACACAAAAGGCACTTGCCGCACTTGCCCCTTTCGCATGCCCTCCAGAGGGCTTACGTCCGACAAGTCCGACAACTTCCCTGGCACCAAGCATATACGAGCTGCTCGGCCGACCGTTCTGGTTCACAACATCCTGCTGGCCCTACTGGCCCTACTATGCCTGGGCCCTCCCGCCATCTTCTGCTAGCAGCCACATCAAGGAAGGCGCCTCTGGGTCTGAAGGGTCCTGCACAGCGTGGAAGCCAAACAACTGAATTCGTTTCAATGCCATCTGAACCCAAGCATAGTATGGCGATTACTGTAAATGCCATCTGCAATGCATTGAATCATCATCACCATTCTGAGAGAGACTCGTCGCTTCAGTCATTCTCTTCTTCGCACTGCTTTTCCATCGAACGCTGGAAGGCCTGGCGCTGGCAGCGCTTGAGAGGACACGTCCCAGAATTCCTTTTGGAACAGTGAACATCAGGAAGAGTCTGCGGAAATCCAGCTCTGGGACCGATTGCCTTGATAGATCACTCCGAGCTGTCTTCAACGAAGCAAAGGAAAAATGAGGGATTGGATAGAAAGGATTTCAACACACAGTGACAAAAAAGAAATGGAATCACCAGAGTCACCAGAACCTCCAAAATGTGCAGAGGTTGCTCTTCTTTCAGAAAACTGTTTGCTGCAGGGGTCACCCCTCCACCAATCAACCCTCCAAATGAAACAAGGACCCAGGAATAACTGCACGCATCCCTCACACTATATAAGTTGGCGCCGTTGTTGGTGACATAGACCCCAAGTACATGAACACAAACTCCCCGCAAAACAATCAGAACGGCTGCGCGCCTTTTCAAAGGTCGCGCGTTTAAAGGAACATGTCGGAGTCGTAGGCATCTTTCTTGGGAACGTGCGCGAACACATCACTTGTCCAAATCATGCTTTTGCAGAGTTCCTTCTCTCCCCAAAGGGGTGGCCTACAACCGTGATTTCGCTACAGTGTGGGTCCGTTTTCGTGTGACGGGTTTTCACCATGTTGCAAAAACAATTATGCTGATGCCCCCAAGCAGCCCACCAAAATCCACAACTCTTCGACGACAATGTTGAGACAATGATAATGTTGTGAAAACGGGTACCAACTTCACCCCTCAATGATGTTGATGAAACCACAATGAGATGATGTGGATGAAACACCCATTCATAATGCGCGTATTGGAAAGACGTCTGCAAAATGCTTGGGAGCCCGGGGCCTCTTTTTCAGTGCCTGGCTCTTAACTCAGAAAATGACACCTTTCAATCACAAGACTTCACTTCCAAAGCTGCCCATCCTCCTCCTGTGGTTCCAGCCTCGGCCATCGCCAGCTGCAAGGCCGTTGGAGGCGCCAGCCGAGCAGCAGCTGGTGTGCTGCCGGTGGCGCCCGTGCGGTTCCGCCCGTGGGCGCGGCGCATTCCGCAGGTTTGGGGCTCTACCACCAAGGACGGGAGCCATTGGCGCCTGGGCTGAACTTGGAATGTGAAAAGGCGCAGGTGGAAGGAGAAACAGCGAAGCACCAGTTCGTGCTGGTGGTGGTCATGCGGGGGTAGGGAGCATGCAACGCATGCAACTGCTAGGAGTACTGAAATACAAGTAGATGCTCACACATGTTTGACTTGTCTATGCTACACATTTCCTCTTGTGACAAATCTCTTGGTAGCTGCGGCATCCCGAATGACCTGCACGAGCCCCATCGTCTCCTGGAACTCACCCAATATTCTCCACTCTTTGATATCCTTGAACATCCTGCCTTCTATGACAAGGCCTCCAACATGACTCTGTAGGTAATTGCAATTATATAATCAAACTGGGCGACAGGAGACACTTCTTTTCGAGATGGGTCAACTCTTGCCGAGCTGCAAGCGCTGCCGCTTGCGTCTCAACAAGCTGGGCCCAAGCCGTCGCAGAGTCTCTAGCACGTTGAATGCTTTGCCAGAGGAATTCACCTCAGGCCCAAAGGCAACCATTATTTTTTCCTCGGAGGAAACCAACAGGGGCTTCAACCCAACAGGTGAATGAGTATTCTAGTCTAGTGAATGAGACATGTTGAGACATGTTGAGACACACCTATCCTTGCCTACATCAGGGTCATTCGTTCGTTTAGTTTAGTTTCATCATCAAGAGAAACTAGGTGTTCAGTGGATTTGATTCTTGGGATGTCTTGTGCTGTGCTTTTTTGAGCAGCTATATGAAACGAGATCAATAAGCCTCCTTTTTACACAATTCACATGAAACAGAGCCGGTCCCAGGCCCGTCAACACACAAGAATGAAATCAAAACGACTGCAAGCACCGCACCCACGATCTTCGCCAAAGCTGCTGGTTGAAAACCAATGTGCATGAACGGAGCATTGTGCTCTATCAAACACGGAAAACCCACGATCAACCATGCAAATGCCAGACTTGCAAATAACCATTCTATTTTCCAGGACAAGGATGCGCCGAAGATTTGGCAGACTTCCCACACAGTACATAGTTTTGCGGATAGAAAATAGATGTGACCTTGTGCAATGTACATAGGTTGAAGGGAGGCGTATTGTCCTGGCATAAGGTTCCAAAAAAATACAACCAAAACGACAACAAACATATATGAAACAAATATAACCTGGTCCTGCCTCGTGGGCAAATGCATACGCCAAACATCGCCAAACTAAGTCACAAACAAACCAAATTGCGTGGGAATTCGACCGTTGCTCACTTGTAGTGACAACTGATGAGTCTTTATCACTGCTAAAAACTCAAGCTCTGAGGGCCATAGTGCCCTCCCCAGACCCCTGCGCCGCCAGGACACACCGTAGAAGAAGAAACTGAATTCTTGCCACGGCACCTCTTGAAGTGTTTGTGGAGTCGAAGAAAAAGGGCGATCTGCACAATTAGAGACCACTTCAGTACAGCATATGATTGACTCTAGCCTGAAATATCCAAAAAGGTCCATGACACGATGAATCATCATGACACAAATTGTTTTTTGTTGGTGAATTCACCTTCAAACAAAACAAACATGATTTGTTTTGTGACTGCATGCAGGACGTAAACACGGGAAACATGCCTTGCAGCTCCATTCACGGCTAAAACAAGTATCATTGTGAGGCCTTCGCAAGAAAAACACATGTGTTCATTTTTAGGACACCCAAATACAACAAATATAATACACATATCTTCCCCTTGAGATCTTTGCCTACGCAAGTTGCCTCGAAGAAGAATCACGGTGGGCCTACGCAATTTGGTTTCGCATGCCCTTGCCCGCACGCAAGCTGAGAATAGTTTTCGTGGACCAAGTTGCAGTTCCTCTTTCATAAAACAGCCTTTCTTGGCCGGAAGGCATTTTGCCTTCAATAACATGTGATCAAACCAACTAAACACAACCTTGAGAAACCCAAGAAAATCAGTTCACCTCATGTCTCTTGTCTAGGACCTGTCCATGGATCCAAACTTTTTGTTGATAGCTTTTGTGAATCAAACCTCAGTTTCCTGCCCTTTGCTCTCACCACCATGACACTCCTCTCTTCAGAAACCCAAACAAACAAAAGAGATAATGTTCACAGATTCTGCTCTTCCCAGATCTGCTTCTGCAAATGAACGTGTCCTGCTCGAGAAAGATCCTTCAAAACTCTATGTGTTTGAAACAAACAACTATTTGAACACTTTCGTGCCTAAAATTTACTATTTTGATCTATTTTGTAAAAACGGCATACCGGTGCTTGAGCAAAATACCTTTCTGCCTGTGGGATCCTGTGGGTGCATTCTTGCAACTGGACACACTCTGACATTG